GCGCCGATTTCCATTTAAGTGGTGGTGAGTTTTGTGGTGGAGAGTTTGTTGTGGTGACGAATTGACTGTAAACCAAATACTAGGTCTCCATACAACTAAAGTTTTTCTTTTTCTTAACATCAGACAGTGAACACATGCTTACCAAGTTTTCTGGCAGTTGTGACAATGTCTCCTTGAGCTGGTCAACCTTACTGATATTTTCTGGGAGATACAATGCTCTGGACATCAGCAAAAGAGATGCTGGAATTTGTTCATCGAGGTGTAGTTCAACCCACTATGTAGAAAGAACAATATTTTTAAAAGTATAAAGGGAAGCTTTGACAATGACAGCTACTTTTAGTAATATATGTACATCATAGATGACATCAAAATGAGGTAAGAATAAAAGGTGGTTTACATCCGGCTCAGCCGAGCATGTCACTGATATTCTTATTACTTTTTGATGTCTTATGGGATCTGTTACTGAACACAGAAGCATGGCAACATGGAAGAAGCACAAGATAATCTGTTGGTGATACCATCTACAGCTGTACGAGTCTGTCTTCTTATAGATCACGAGCAAGAACCAATTAAAATGAGTGTATCGTCCAGCTTATTAAAGACACCTCACAAATCTCTAAAAATTCACCTGTTTAAGTTGAGACCTTAACCTTGCCGCAGGAACACCAATAGCTCTCATTCCACGAGCTTGGGAAGCTGATTGCAGTTCCTGTTCAGTGAGGCTTTCTACGCCTTCTCTTTGAATTAACTGAGGATTATAATCAAAAGTACCGGTATAAATGAATAATACCACAGATAAATTGCTAAGAAAATGATCTGAATTCTATCAGCAAGTTAAGCATTTCAATTTTATAAGTCTCACAAAATATTAATAATCAAGAATTGCAAAATAAAGTAAGGGAAAATGATAATGTAAAAGAAATTTAACAAGTCTGGGTGTTACTCTAAATGTTTACACATTATTTCCTTTGATGTTCTTTTCCTGTGTTTCTTTTAGTTTGTTTGAATTAATTTTTCTAGCCTTGTAATCACTACTAAAAAAAGGAATACCTTCAGCATCTGTAACAGACCAGATCATCAGCTCTGAGCTGACTTTTTTTCTAGCACTGTAATTGCTACAAAAGAAATACCTTCAGCATCTGTAACATACCAGATCATCAGCTCTGAGCTCTCTTAGCTTCATCCTCAGTCGAAACCTGAAGTAATTGTTTGTTCCAATGGTTGGCAACATCAGCAGCCTGTTGATTGCTTTGAGCTGGGCACGACTCATGTTGTCCAATGTAATTTGATCCTCAAACAATTTGGAAAACCTTAGGATGTCTTCATTGCTGGGTTGTTGTCCTTTGCTGCGGATCTGCCATTCAAAAATAAAGCAAATGTATGCAAATGAGGTCAGAGAAACTTATCAAGATCAAAATGTAAATTCCCTCCACCGTCTGACAGACATTTCTCATAATCATTGTTTTGAGAATTTGGTGCTACAGTAAATATATCTTATTAACCAAGCGCGAGGGCCGTACTGGGAGAATATTGGCCCGAGGTCTTGACAGTACAGACCGAGCGGAGTGAGGTCCTTACAAAAAAGACCGAGGGCCAATATTCTTCCAGTACGGTCCCGAGCAAGCTTGGTTAATAAGAGATTCATTATACGACTGAAGTTCAAAGGGACACAAGTGTGGTATAATTCAGGACCATTCGGGACAGTGCCCGGTCCAATACTGAGAGAATATTGACCGGCAATAGAGCATTTTGATTGGCTGATTTTAGTTATTGGCCCTCTGACTGCCTGAGTTGTGTAATAACACACTATATCACTACATGTATAAGTTTTTTTTTTTCCTCATCACTTTCTCAATTGAAAATGTAATGATACAAAATATTCATGAGTTCAACTCCTGTACAGGCCTGAGTTTTTTTCAGGCTTTACTTTCACTATTGCCAAGATCACTCCCATCTTCAGACTATACATTTTTTTCATGCCACTTTTTACCTTTTCAAAGAAGTTTGCAAAGTCAGCGACGACCTCTTGAGTTTTCTTTTCTTTGGCTGCCACAGCCATTTCCTCGACAGTGTCTTGTAAAAACTTAGCCATTTGAATTTTCACTTTGAGCTGTTTCTTCTTGCTTTCTTCCTGATACGTAAAAGAGGAGGATCATCACACAATTGCTGCATAGTTGCTTTGTTTTTTTTTTAGAGTAAAATTTTAACAGTTGTTGCTCTCATGGTTCTTGTGATAAATTCTGTGATTGGTGGATTTAGCTGAGCAGACTTAGTATGACTAGCTGCTTTAACTGTCTGATCACAGGCATCTAATTACAACTTACAGTCTGATTACACCTCTGCAGAATAATTAGTTAAAAAAAGCAGCTACCATGCCAACCACATTTGAGGAAATTATAATGGTTATGGTTTTTTTACATGATAATTGAAATTCTAACACCAATTACAAGAGCTCTAACCTCTGCTAACTCAAACCCTTCTTTTGTTTCCCTTGGGAGACTGAATTGGTGGGGGCTTCCATTGTAAATAACAGTTATATTTCATACCTTCTTGGATTTGTCCACAAATGTACTGGGAAGCATGTTTGGAAAAAGGTAAACAGCAACTGGCAACATAAACTCCATGAAAGGAATCAGTACAAACACCAAAAATGGAACCAGGCGGAATATGTCTGCCACTGTGCGAAGAAACTACAAATTGCACATGATAGAAAAGGATGAAAACTCTAGTCAGTCAGAACCCCTAAACACTCAGTATAAAGCATGTGTGTACAAATGCTAACATATCAATCTAAACTAAGCTCCACACAAAGCCTTGCTTGTAAAATGATTCAAATGGCCAGGCTTTCTTTAGCTTAAGTTAATTTTCACCCTTAAAACCATTCTTGCTCATCAAAGGTTCAATTCATGGGCTGCTCCCTCCGCAGCACTCTGTTTGAGATGTGCTTTGCAAAACAATCACAGTTTCAACACTTCACTTGAACCTTTTCTGGTAGTGCAACACTTCATTAATGCAGTGTACAGAATCCAGTTTAGATATAGAAGGACAAAGATCACAATAATTATACAATAAAAATTTATAAAAAGAAAATATTTCCATTACCTGACGTCTTTCCCGTCTTGACAACACCCTTCCATTCATAACCTGCCATAACATGCGGGCAGCAATTCTAACTTCCAAATACAAAAGCTTAAATCCACTATAATAATGTGCAGCTTCTTGCTTAACCCTTTGCCATAAAGACTTTTTTGGTGGTGGAGAAACAGTGACAATTGGCTCTATTTCTTCAGGGCTACATTCCATTTGGAAAGCTTTCTCCTTCAGTTTTTCTTTCTTTTCTTTCATGGCTTCCACAGCCTCTTCTACTTTAGACTTCTTCTCTTCATCTTCCAACAGTTTTGTTATGCCCGCTTTGCTGGGAGATGGATCATAATTTACACTGCTGGTATAGAGAGTCCGTCTTTGATGACCACACGAGAGACCTTCTGCATGTTTATAATCTAAAGTGTTTCCAGAAATCATTGTTCTGTTAATTATGTTTTTCATTGGAAAGAAATTTGCCTGATTTGCACAAGGATTTATCCAGGCATGTAGATGACGTCCACCAGAGTAACAATTACTCTGTATCTGTCCTTCCTTTGCTATAAGCTTTAAAGTCTTGAATTGAACATGTAGACCTGACAGTCCAGATATGGATTGATTGTGAACTGCACTTTTGAGACCAACAACACTCCTTTGACTGAATGGAACAGCATGATTACAATGTCGATGGCAAGGAAAGGTGCGCTTTGAATCTTGATCAAATCTTTGGCAAGCGACATAACTTGACAACTGACATACATGTCTAAAACAGAAAGGATACAATCATTGCTTTGAGAAATTACTGCACTGCATACTTGATGACTTTGACCCTTTAACCCTGTAACTCCTATGAGTGATCAAGACAGATTTTCTCTTTACAATATCAATACAATATTACGTGGACAAGTGATGAGAATATAGCAAAATATCCATTGGGGGATTATTAGTTGATCTAGTGTCAAATTCTCCAAAATAACAGTATAACAATTGTAGAGCAGACAGTAATGAGAATAACTAATCAGATCTTAGGAGTCGAAGGGTTATCCGCAAAGATCTGACCGTCAATTCTGTTCTCTAGGTGCAATCACTCCCTTCCCCATCCCACTACGTTCCTTGCTGCCTCAAGGGAGACTGATACCCTGATGATAGGGTATCAGTCCTCACAACATCTATATATATTCAAGCAGAAAGGTATTGAGAAGTGAAAAAATTTTCAACAATGGGGAATTTAAATGACTGAGTGAAAATCATAATGTGAACTGAAGATTAATAGGTAAATATGCAAGTCAACTTAGGCAAAAATGGAAATAAACTAAGTGGAAAAAAAAAACGTCAGGCCTGCATGGGAGTTGAACCCATTGACCTCTGCAATATCCATGCAGTGCTCTACCAACTGAGCAAACAAGCCAACTGGTTGCTGGTCATTTTGTTGGTTTGTCATAAACCAGTTGGACTGACCACCAAATTAATTGATCTGAAATGATTGGTGATGAATGACAAACAGTTTGGAGAATCCCAAGATCTTGGGAGTGAAAGGGTTTGGAAACCAAACAAAATTGTTCACAAACTTAGTTATCAGAGTAGTCTCATGGATTCATAAAGGTCGGCACACACGAGGGGACTAGTCCCTGCAACTAGTCCCAGCGACCAGTTTCATGCGACTAGTCCCTTCGTGTGAACTACACATTTCTGTGGTCGCAGGGACCAAAATTTGGTCCCTGCGACTGGTCGCACGAATTCAAACTGGTTTGAATTTGTGCGACCAGTCGCAGGGACTTGTCGCATGAAACAAATGTTTGTCCCTTCGTGTGAACTGTTTGTGCGACCAGTCCCTGCAACTAAACGGTAAATAAGCCAATCACGGGTTAGTAGGATGCATGACTTCCAGTATTTGTAAACATTGCAGTTTCTATGAATTTTCCCTGACTTCTAGATTTCTACAACTGAAGAATAAAAAACTATTTCTACTTTGTAAACATATACAGATGTCTTGGAGCCGTTTTGATGGAATTTTTACCCTATTTGACACCGTGTCTGTTAAAAATAATAATAATAAAAAAAAAAACGGAACATGTAAGAGCATGAATAATCCGACTGAATAAGTGTAGTTCGTTTGCGTTGATGTTTAATAGTGCTACAATGAAAAGTTACCAAATTTTAATTGTTTTCGTGTAACGCTCCAGACTAAGAAACATCTTTTGCATCTTAATTTTCCTATGTTCTTGTGCAATTGAGTGCCCTCGTGTAAACGCCTTAAGGGACTAGTCCCTGCTACCGGTCCCCTCGTCTAAACCCTTCAAAGACTTGTCCCCGGGACTAGTCGCACGGACTAGTCGCAGGGACTAGTCCCCTCGTGTGTGCCGACCTTATGTAGTTTATCAGTAAGGTTAGCATTAGCATCTGGTGTAAATCAGTTTACAAAATCGATTCAGTTCCTGTATATCTCCTCCATCCACCTCCAGGTTACATTCTTAGAGGTCATGGGTTTAATTGCTACTGAGACACTCCATACACACAACTAACAGAAAGATTAATATTTATCAGTCGTGATCGAGACTCAAATCGGACTCGAGCTTGTAATGTGACTCACGCAATCACCTCAAAGAATTTCATGGCAGAAGTAGCATTGAATATCAGACCATATAACTTGGCCGATATCTAAATCTCGATGCGTGGATATGTGAGCACGGATTTAAAAGTTAATAGCAACTGTATCATTTTGATGAACTAGATTTTGTAATTTACATATGCATATTATGACATAAGTTTTTACGCTTACGTCACGAAAGTTACCACTTACCGAAAATGTGGGGAAGAAGTAAACAAAAGCCGTTCTGTTGAAAAGAACACCACCAGGTATCAAAATAAACAAAAGAAAAACTTCAAAATATGACACAAAAATTAGCTCAACACGTTTATATTCGACCATGCAGATTCAAAAGTACAGTAAAACCACATCACAGCATACTCACGCAGGTTGAAAGAGTGCTGCAACATCGCCATTTTGCTTTCCTGACAACTAAAAATCACAAGGTCAATTATCTACGAATAAAATAACCTAAGTACTATAAAATTCTCTTCATCATGTCTGTCCATATTTCTTTCGTAGCCATCGATCACTCCTTCAGCGATACTCACATGTGTTATCTCGCGAAAATCGGTTTACACAACAGTTACTGGTCAGCGTTTGCTATATTAGACCACGGTTTGCATAGATTTGTGGGATACTTGTTTGCCGGAAGAGGTGTGATCAAGGCCCAAAGGGAAACACAATATTTCATAGTGATTTTCTGCGATTCACAGAACACAGACGAGGGACATTATGTCGTTTGAGAAAGGTTGGTTTATCTTGCATGTTCTAGACTCGCAGATGCTCTGATATGTAGGCTGTGGCCTTCGTTTATGCGAACAGTTTGTTGCAGCTTTCGCTGACCAACTCGTATTTTTGCTGATTTTTGCCATCTTTCTCGTACGTGCACTATCGTTTCCTTTCAGCGGTATCTTTTGATACAAAATTTAAAATGATTCGTGTTTTGCAGGACGCATATTTTCTACCTTACCAAAGACTGTGAGAGGTGTTCCGACCGTGTTAAAAGGCGATCCAAAGGGAAAAAATTTCCTCTATACCAATGGTACCAGTGTTATAATTCGCGACATTGAGGTGGGTTTCACCTATTTTCTGCATGATGTTTTAGGTTCAAGATTGCAATTTTTACCTAAGTTTATCATTCGCTAAAACCACAAAACAGGAGGTCGAAAACTTGAAAATACAAAGTAAATTTTCGAAATCCATATCTTAATTCTAAGCCGCGTGCGAGGTTATTTTCCGCGGAATTTTCCTGCACACTCGACGATTTCCTGTTGATGACTGCATCTGATTAATTTCCCATTCACTGAAAACTTTAAGGGACGCAAGTCTTGTTATTTGGTACCGTATTTCAGTCGCAAGTGTACTGTGAATGTGAAATTATACCACGTTATATGTAAAGCAGTTTGCATATGATAGGTAGGCTCCTTTAACTTGTACATCTTTTTAGATATTTATGTATAGTGTAGTGGTGGACATGTTCGGGCTGTACGTAGTTTGTTCAAGTCACTGTCAGCCAACATTGACCATAAAAGGACAAAACTGACCCACTTTATTTTTGTTTGCATAACTCTTTTCCTCCCCAAAACTGTCGTTTCCAATTATGGAAGTCCTGTGGAAACCAACTTGTACACTGTATTCACTATTAGAGCTATTATTATTGTTCCAGTTTTTTTCATTATTTTTTTTGTATGTTATACAAGCCAGAATTTGCCATGGATTTAAAATTCCATCATCCAGTTTGATTTTTACTCCTGTTGGTTGGTATTTATTATCATAATAAAAATGACTTGGAATCTGTGGGTTATTTCGAGTTTCTTCAATATAAAAACCAAAGGTAAAAATATCTGTAAAACTCGATTTAAATCAGGTAAAGTTGGTCCATTTGTTAGTTTTCCTTCTTTAGGAGTATGGTTTTAAGACTGGTTAGAATGATTTGCCAAATAATCAATTCAGCAAAGATTCAAATGGGGCTAAATATCCCTTGATCTACTTTTTCCATTTTTACTTGCATATTAATTTTGTTCTCATTCTTTTTTTTTTCACTGATTCTTCACTTAGTCACCTCAGGCAAAGTTATGGAAAGTAAAGACTAATAGTTAACTTAATTTTTTTTTAGGTTTTTAAAAAGCTTTCATGAGGCAGTTCAACACAGAATTTAGGTTAAAATGATTTTCACATCTGTTTGACTGTATTGTTTTTTTTTTTTGTTGATTAGAAATAATATAAGAACACATCATGAACGGAGGGAAGTTCAAACAAAGTTTGGTTAAAATCATTTTCTCATAAACTCAGGGTAACATTTATTAAATATAAATCAAACTTCTTATAGAGAAAGCCTAAGGCCCACTGATGGGTAAAACTGTGGTTTGGGTTAGACCTAGTGGAAATAACTGGCCACATTGTATTTTTGAAAACTCCACGTTTCAGGAAGCGAGAGGGTGTACTTATTTTCACAATTGGTGTGACATTCCTCAATTTAACTTAATTAAGTATGCAGTAGGTGTAAAATGATATTATGTACATCAGTTACTCAACAGTAGTTATTAAATGTTGGGGTCATAAATCATGTTCAATCAAAACATGAGAAGGCTTTGTCTATTTGTGTGTGTAAAAAATTATAACAACATAAAAAAAGGAAAGAAGAGACAAAAACAAACAAACAATTCATGAAATCAACAACACTGTTTCAGTGCATTGTTTCTTTTTTGTGCTCCTATATTGCTACTTATAATGCTTTGAAACCCTATTCATGTTCAGAACTACAACTTTAACTTTTACTGTAGAGTTTGGTGAACTCGTTATTTTATTCAAGATAATATGACGTACGACTGACCATTTGATTGTTTCATGTTGCAGAAAAATACTGATGTATGTGAATTTTAGGTCAGATTCTTTGAAATTGCCTTAAATTATTTCTTTTACTAATGCTATTTGCAGAATCCTGACAATGCTGACATTTATACCCAACATGCCAAGGACACAACTGTGGCAGTATATGCGCCCAGTGGATTCTACATAGCATCAGGAGGTAAGACCTCCCCTGAGACCCACTCTGCATACATGTAGCTTTATCACAAGCCAAGCACTTCCAAGTTTTTTTCCATTTTTGACCCAGAATAAAATTATATTTTTAGGTCTGTTACTACTAAAAAAAAAAAAGTTCTTTCCAGTCCACTTTCAAGTAGATGTACATGCATGCAGTCAGATATTTTGTAGAGATCTGCAGAATTGTTACAAATAATAGATCTGTTCTTTTTGGAGTACTGTTGTTGTCTACAGAAAGTAGTATTATGCAGGGCTCGACATTAACAGTAACTAACCAGCAACTGACTCGTAGAAATTCAGTTTTGGCCAGTGGTTTTTGATCTCCACCAGCCAGTTTGGCTTAAGTCAATGTCAGTGTTAATTGTGTTCCTGGGCAAACCACTTTACTCCCACAGTGCCAGGAGTAGGAATGGGTACTGGTCGGCAAATTTGTTCAGGGAAGTTTTATTTGTGAACTGCTGGGTGGTAAACTTGGGATGGACTTGCATCCCATCTAGGAGAGAGGAGTGATACTTCTAGTCACTTCATGCCAATGAAACTGGGATAAGCTGCAACTGGGTCAGGGCCACTCGACTAGAGTATGGTTTTGATTAAACATATATTGTTCCATACATTACAGCATATCACAGTCAGTGTTTTCTTTTGTAGCCGCACACTTTCTCCTTCTGGCCAAATTCAGTGGCAAACAACAGAAATGTGGCACATAATTATCTGTTCAGTTACAGTGTACAAGTGTATATTAACTAACATCATGACCTTGTCTCTTTAAAAATCATTATATATTAATTATTTTTTAGATGTTTCTGGAAAGCTTAGAATCTGGGACACCACTCAGGCGGAGCATATATTGAAATATGAATACCAACCTTTAAGCGGTGCCATTAAAGATATTGCTTGGTCTGAGGAGAGTAAGAGGATTGTTGTTGTTCGAACAGGCAGGGAAAAGTAAGCTGTCATCTTCATTTCTTTATGAAAAGCCTGTCCAAATAATTCTCTTTCTGTTTATCTGTCGGTCTGTTGGTCTCTAAGTTATTCACATTGTTATTTATCTTTACTTTTAGCTTTGTATCATGAAAGACAGCTGGCCTTATCCCAATGACAGATAAATTCCTTATTAACTGATATGTCAGTTTTGTGCTTAAATGGCCCAAACAACAATAACAATCAGGGCTGGACACTAACGGTAGCCCACCAGCCACAGACTAGTATAGTCAGTGGTAGAAATTCAGTTTTGGCCAGTGGTTTTTCAATTTCCACTGGCCAGTTTAGCTAGTAAACAAACTGAAATTGTTGTAACATTATTCTAAGATGTCACTAGTCACTTGGCTATTAAGCTGAAAAGTTAGTGTCGAGCCTTGAACAATGTGTAATTAATTTTACTGGAATATTATTTTGCTTTTAGATTTGGTAAACTGTTCCTATGGGATAGTGGGTCTTCAGTTGGTCAAATCACTGGACACTCCAAGGATATTAATGCGGTGGATTATAAACCCACTCGTCCATTCCGCATCTGTACTGCGAGTGAAGACAGTGATGTTGGCTTTTATGAGGGGCCACCCTTTAAATATCATCATGCAAACAAGGTTGGTAACACTGACAATATAATTTATATGTTTACCAAATTCTATCTATATCTGATGAGCAATAAGTTGATTGCTTGAAATACAAGGTTTGGAAGGTGTGTAAAAAATTTGAATGATATTCTAAAGATCCTTGACATCTAAAAATTAATGGTGGACTAATATAGATTTCTTTTTAATCTCCAATTCTTGAATAATTTGTATTTATTCTCAACCCAAAAATTAAGTGATAACAGTGGAAAAGACATGAGCATTTAATGGACTAGTGTTAGTTTTCAACATTCTGTTATTGAAATACATTCGTAGCCCTAACAAGAGGAGCCAGATTGACCCATGAAAATTTTCTGTTAGACTTATTACAGCAGTTACCTTTTTAACTTTGAGTGTACATGGATTAAGGGAGATCACAGAAGCACAGTTTCTTCAAACATACATTTTTCAATTGAAAGCACTAACTATTTTGGCTACTAGTAGCTCTGTAAGTGATCAAGTTAAATCATATTATTTACACTGGTTAACTAATGGCACCTAACCTCCCTGTTAATGATTGCCTATTTTGATCCCAGAGACTTATCAAAGATCCTTAGTTTGTAGCTAAGTTTCACAATTTTGGGAAACTTTTCTTTTTGAAAAAAAAGAAAACATTTTTCCAAACATTTTTACAGCAGTTGAGGAACAGCTTTTTCAGGTATGGTGCATTACTTCAAACAGGTTTGTTTTATGACACTCCCTTGGACAGTGGAAAGCGTATTGATTCCTTCCCTTTTCTCATTTAAACAGAGCCACACCAACTTTGTGAACTGTGTGAAGTACTCTCCAAATGGGGAACATTTTGTGTCTGGGGGTGCTGATGGCATGGTATGACTGTTTCGTGCTTCTGAAACAGGAAAATGTTCAATACAGACATGTGACCGTGTAAACATGCTGCATAACAAGTGTAAAAAATATTGTTGAAATGGAATTGTAACTCATGACTTAGTTATGAGAAAAAAGCAAAGTGCTCCTGAGCCAACTGAGCTATTAGTCCATGGTGATTGTGTTATTATATATAGTGATATGCATCCATGAAGGATGAATGTGTTTAAGGGAATACTTGAAAATCACAGAATGATGTAAACAGCAGAATAAAGATGATAAGCAAATTTCTAATATGTATTAGTTCTGTTTAGCTTGTGCAACTACATGTAGAGCATGTCGTTGTAATGTATCTTACAAGAAAGACGTTAAGAGAATCTGGAATCTATCCAATATCTATCTTTTCCTTATTAATTTTTTTTTATATTTATTTCCCCTAGTCTTAAAACTCTTTGTCATAATCTAAAACAAAAGAAAATTAGAATGAAACTGTTTTGAAACTTGTTTGGAGTAAGGAAAGAATGAACAGACTCGGGCAATTTTTGCAGCAATAAATCTGTAAACAAAAATTAATTTGGTCTCTGTTTATGCTGAACATTTTATTCTGATCAAAATTGATATGCTGTTATTGTTTTTTTTGTTTTTTTTAGATTTTCCTCTACAATGGTAAGACCGGAGAGGAAATTTGTGCCTTGGGTGGAGGTAAAGCTCACAAAGGGGGTGTGTATGGGGTAAGTATTTTACTGAGAGNAAAAAAAAAAAATTATTTTTGACTCGAATGGCTTATCCACTACATCCATTTCATTAATACCTATTTTGGATTGTTTTGTGAAGAACTCTTCATTAATGTAATCTTTATAGTCTATTATAGAATGTAAAATGGTGGTGCACATATAGCGTACTTAAAAGATTTTCACGACTCTCATAGATATCATGGAGTCCAGACAGTAAATTTGTTCTCAGTGCCTCAGCAGACAAGACTGCCAAAATATGGGACATAGCCGCTAATAGTGCTTCAATGTAAGTATACAGAAATTCTATTGGAAATTCATTACCTGACAAGGGAATTTCACATCAACTTGTACGTGAAAATCGATAGTGTATGAAGCACTGAGTGATGAGTGCAGTATTGGTTTTCACATACAATTTAACGTGGCTGGAATTCCCTTGTCAGAGGGAGGACTTCTATGGGCCCAGTTGTTTGATGGCCAATAAGCGCTAACCCAAGGTTAAATTGTAGTCCAGGTTTTTTAATTCCTCTGTTTAAAAGCCTCTGTGGGATAATTTTCTCTCTTATCTTTAAAGCATCCAATCGCAACATTTTAGAGAGAAAAAAAAAATTACTGTGGATTTTCTTTTCAAGCTTACAGATCTGAGATTAAAATAATTTTGCAGAAATCCTGGGTTATCTTAACCCAGCTTTTAAACAACCCGACCCAGGAAACAAAATTACAGTAGAACTGATGCAAATTCTGTTTTTTGGCTTTATAGACTTGTTGCATTATCAACCAAAATTCTTTAATGTGGCCATCTTATTAAAGAAAAAAAATAATGGTCTAGATTGGAATCACCATTTTTCTTTGTGGTTTTTTCTGTTAGGGAGTTTACATTTGGCACAGACCTTGAACATCAACAACTTGGCTGCTTGTGGCAAGGAGAATACCTTCTTACTGTTGCTCTCTCCGGAAATATCTGCTATTTGGATAAGAACAATCCTTCTTCTCCAAGCAGGATTATTAAGGTCTGGGGTTAACATGTACAATTACGAACCGTAGAGAGTAGACTCACTTACAGTGTACATACACTACCACTCATACGACCATCACTTTACATGCACGTATGTTCTGTTTTGTTCAAAAAAAGTTGCACATTAGTGCAGCAATGGCTTAGCCTTTTCACTTCCAAGGTCCAATTAGTCATTCTCGTGGCCTACTGCAATACATTTCCTTGTAAATTAGACAGGAGAATTCCGTGTGAAAATCAAGATAGCATCTTCTAGCTTATAAGCGTTTCACTTCTCATGAACTGTTTGCAAGGCAGTATATTGGAATTACAATGAGAAGTTTTGAGTGAATAATTTCTGGGAGTTAAAGGG